GCTTCTGACCCAGGTAAGTCTCATTAAGTACCTAATCCATATAGGTATTAAATATCCATAGGCATTTGAGCCCCACACTTAGTTGTCCGTCGAACCTAACAGCTGTATGGGCCCCTGTATGGTAGACCTTAGTCTGGGCAACTGAGTGCGTGTACACTCAGCTATAGGTTCACGATTGGTTTATTTCAGCTGTTTAAAGCATTGTTATAAATGCAAGTGTGTTGTTGTAATTATTTTATTTTACTTATTTAAAAGAACCAACAAGATGTAAAACATTATAACAGTTCTTAGGATTGAAAACGCAGTTTCATTTTGATTCTTAATCGAGGATAGAAATGTAGGTGTCTATGAGCCCCAGCGTCTACGTCAGGTGGGCTGTATGCTCATGTCATGCTTACTTATATAAAATATTTGATATATATTGCGAGGAAATGTTAAAGTTATACTCTTATATTGTTACGATCCTAATAAGAAATAATCAGATAATATCGAGGCGTTGTGAATTACTTTTAAGAGATTAGAAAGGATTCATGCCCCTTTAGATTATTATTTTACTATTTCCTTATTTTTGTAAAACATTTTAAATGTAGAGGATTGAATTAAGTAAAGGAAAAGACGACGAAACAAAGAGTACTAAGCCAACAATTGTTGTTTATCTGAACTAGCCTCAAAGCACTTTAAAGAGTTAGCGCATCCGTAATGCCTATTGTAGACGGTGCGTTAGCTCGCGCAAGTGCTTATTGTGTCAACTTTATCATGTAAATTTTAAATACTTTTTATTTTATTTAAATTAAAAAAAAACAGACTGCACATTAAAAATCTTTTATTATGTTATGTATTCTTGGTATCAAAGAAAGGAAAAAAAATTATATAAAAATGCTAATAGTGCAAGTTGTTTAGCTGTCCGTGCACAATCGTGACTCCGTGTTTCTCGGATGTTCGTCAACAAAGGTACTGATGCCATTTTATTTTTTAAGTAGAAGTTAAATAGACAAACGAGCACGCCGTCATGATTATTGGTTGTTGTGGCCCGTAGATAATTACATCTATCTTCTATCAAGAAACGTATAGAGCGTATCCAAAAGAGTTTTTTGTGGCATCTTCTCTACCAAACCTACAAAATAAAGGATCTACTCTCTTACGAAGAATGACCACCGTATAATAAATTAAGTAGCCTGCGAGAGAGGAGGCGTTTGATGGATTTCATGTTGCTATACGAAATCGTCTAAGGAACCGTAGACTGTCCATATCTACTAAGTTAAATAAATTTCAATTTTTTTTTTTTTTTTTTTTATAGGAGAGGGGGCAAACGAGCATGCGGCTCACCTGATGGTAAGTGACTACCGCCGCCCATGAACAACCGCAACACCAGGAGAATTGCAGATGCGTTGCCGGCCTTTTAAAAAGGAGTAGGCTCTTTTCTTGAAGGTCCCTAAGTCGTATCGGTCCGGAAAAATCGCTGGTGGTAAACAATTCCACAAGGAAGTTGTGCGAGGAAGAAAACATCTTCTAAATCGCACAGTGGTGGACCGCCAATCATCCAGATGGTGTGGATGGTATCGGGAGTTCTGCCGCGATGTGCGTTCGTGAAATTTGGCGGCTGGGATTAATCCGAACAATTCCTCAGAGCACTCCCCATGGTAAATGCGAAAGAAAATGCTAAGAGATGCAACATCTCTTCGCAGTGCCAATGAGTCGAGCCGATCGGAAAGGACTCGGTCGTCGACGATTCGAGCCGCTCTGCGCTGGATGCGGTCAAGTGGAAGAAGCTGGCACTGGGGAGCCCCAGCCCAGAGAATGTGCCATTCAAGCTAGTGCGTGTCAGCCGATATGTCCCCTTTTTATTTAAGGGCAGTAAAACTAATTTGGGTCACCACGCAACCATAAACAGGTGGCAGACGCATTAAAAAATAACAAGCTCTGCAAGGCTTGTGACGTCGATATCTTTGCTGATAGGCCTCAAAATTTCTGGCGTATAATTTTGCAAGCCTTTGCTGCAAAATTATAGGCCTAGTTTAAAATATATATATGTTAACAATAAGAATTTTAAGAAACATCTTTGTAGTCCACAGTGCATGCCGTGGTAACTTTTAATTATGACGACACTTAGATATAAACTTTCCTATTATTTCTAGTGTTTACATTGTGTTCGTGTATGTCTTGTTGACTGATCTAATAATATACATAAATAAAAAGAAAATAAAAAAAGAAAATTCAGACGTGTTTAACCTAAAAACTAAAAAGGGGTTTCGGGTCTTAATTATCACTCACTATAGGAAACATCAGTATTATCAGTATTATGCTGCTATTTTACGCTGGTGTTTTGTGCGCACGTAGTCCCTTCCTGGCCAAACCGACCCATTCGTGATTCAGCCGTAATATCCCGCAGCATTGCACTACCACGTACTTGTAAGTTCAATATTGTTCGCCCTTGACTGGCTCGTTGGTCTAGTAGTAGTATTTAATAAATCTTAGATCATATATAGGATTCAAATCCTAGATCATATCTATTCAGCGGTGTTTCACAAAGTACGTAAAGCCGTTAGTCCTGCACCTGATCTCTCTCCGGTCGTATCTGATTGCCACCTGTTTGTGCTATCAATGTAAGGAAATAAAGAGTACACCTGTGCTTGCGCACAGACTCGTACGATATAACCCTGTCTTGCACAGTTTGCTAATCTCCCTTGAGACTGACCGCCGTGAACGTAATTTGGTCTGAGAAAATTATTTTTCGCCAGGGTTTTCGTAAGCTAAACTCTTGCATTTCACCATCTCTTATAAAATAACACTATACAAGGCGAGGACGCAATTACTAATGACTTGCACTTGCGCCAGCTACTTTATATCGTTTGCAACAGGCATTAGCTGCGAGATAACAGTAATAGTAAGAAAAAACTTTAACGAGTTCCTCTTTAAGCAGGTTCCCAGGCACAATAAACATTTAGTTTAAATTAAGTAAGAAACAGAAACTTTTTTATTCAATATGGATTATAAATAATACTTATTGAAAGTCACTCTTTTGTTTAATTACCACTGGTTCGAAAAAAATACCTCTGTCCTCGGAAGGACCAGCAAGAAATCCAGCGGGACTTTTTTACTAAATAACAACTTACAATCATATATGTTACACAATTAACCACACAAAACAAATTAGAAATAGCTTGGTAGCACTCATCTCATTACCAGGGGTTATTATCATCCATAAATTTCATCCATAAAGAGGATGAAAAAAGTCTGGTGTACATAATAGCTAGATTGGAACTATCAATATTTACCAAGTTATGCATACCAGCCGGTGCTTTCTTCAATGTTTGTTACTTTTATTAATATCCCCGTTGAATAAAACTATTTTTTTTACGGATTTACCGCGTTTAATTTACTATTTTAATTGCCGACGTTTCGGATGCTTTACAGCAACCCATGGTCACGGGGGGGGGGGGGGGGGGGGGGGACTGAGATATTTGACGTCCCGATGTCACAGTTAGCCCGGCTACCTTCAGTTTTTTTTAAACGCGATAAAATCCGTAAAAATATTTTTATTTAATGTGTAGTGTTCGCGTAAATGTAAGAAATCATTATGTAAACCAGCCCAGTTGATCTAGTGGTCGTAAACGCGACTGATGATCGTGAGGTCCCGGGATCGAATCCCGGGTCGGGCTGAAAATTTGTTTTTTTTTTTTTTAATAGTATAAGGGTGACAAACGAGCACACAGTCCACCTGATGGTAAGTGGTTACTGCGGCCCATAGACATCTACACCTATCCTCTATTACAACTCAAAATGTAGATGCGTTGTCACCCGTGAGGACTAAGATGGAATGCCTCATTTCCAGTAAAAAGGGCCTCCGGCCACCTGCACTCACCAAGCGAAACGCAGAGGTAAACCTCTACTTCACGCTGGTTTTCTGTGAGGTCGTGGTACCACCCCGTTTCGAGCCGGCCCATCCGTGCGGCAGCAAAAGCTGCCGCGTGGCTCTACCACTCTTAAATTATTGGGTTTTTATACAAAGAAGTTCTGTGTAGCAGCTAGGAGTCAGGAAGTTGGTGGTGTTTCACACCCGTGACTATGAAACCAAAGGTCTGGGATTGCCGTCCCGTCGGACTATAAGAGTAAGAGCATATTGAGAGAATTTGCGCACACACTCGTGCACTATAATCCTGAAGTGTGCAGATGGCTAGCCTTCGTTGAGATTGGTCGCCGTGTTTAGAGGACATTATTATGTCCATTGAAGATGATGAGGTTCGAAAGCTTCACTTACCAATCCGACTAACTGATGTGGTGAGTTTAAACAAATCCCCTTTAGATTGCATATCAATTTCTTCGGCTAAAATGGGCGGAAAAATATTCTGGATCACCTTTTTCGTCTTAAGGAATAATCGATAATTTTTGCTTTGCTTTGTGTATCGTTAACCGCCTTTTTTAAATCGATATATCATTATTCCATCTCTAAGCGCGCCAAAAGTGTAAGCTGCTATAACGCAAAGACGACGTAAAATATCCAGAGCGGCTACGAGGAGATGCGTCAAAGATGCGTTGTGACCACGTCTAATACTGCTAACTCCAATCCATCCTTCAAGAGTGGCGATCATTTATAAAATATAAGTAACAAATCAACACACAGTCCATCTGATGGTATTTAGATACTGTGACCCATACACATCTACGTCTGCCGACGATTAAAATCAAAATGCAGATGCGTTGTTACTCATGAAGACTAACATGGAATGTCTCGTTTCCAGTAAAAAGGGTCACGGTTTCTCTACACTGACCACATGAAACACAGAAGCATTAAACAGCTATTTTACGATGGTATTCTGTGAGAGCGTGGTCCTTCAACGGTCGAGCCGATCCATAGTGCACAACCTTAATAAATCTGTAGCGTGGTTTTATCACAACATGTAAAATTTCTCCCTATCATGAACCCATGTCCAGCTGTGAATTGTTTAAGGATTGAAGAAGAGTTTTATGTGACGATGGCGGCGGATTTCTTCACCCCAAACTTACGGCATTGGTGTCATAAGACTCGACAAGGGAATACGTGCAAAAGGTTTGTTTATCTTTAATAGTGTCGGTATAGTGACTTGTAATCCTATAAATTAAAACATTAAATGATAAAATGTAACTTCAAATATTATTAATTCCGGCGGTTGACACTTTCCATTATGCCAGTTCGTCACATTAAAACAAATTACAATTTAAAGATCCGTAGCAACATTTAATTAATTTGTTACAAATCAATCCCAAATCAATTCCCCCAGCCACCGCATTGAGCGTACAACGTTTAGGCGTCTCGCGTAATAGGTTTGCTCTCGCGCGCGGCAGTTCCAGCAGTCGCACTCCACGCACAACTTCATCTCCTGCAGGTTAGCTTGGTTATTAACTACACCCCGTAACACCTTAAACAAGTAGTAACTTCTTACTTCCAGTTTACTGTATCCTACCATATCGAGGACAAACAGAGTAGGATTCAGTAACGGATAACCCGAATACACTCCATATAATTTGAGATATAAAAAAATCTAGCAAACTTATTTTGAACACTTTTCAACATTGACTTATACTCTTTATGTTCTTTTAATGCTAATCTAAATGTCATAAGTTGACTTGACGGATCTTTCATATTAAATAATTTAACTAGTGCTTTGTGTTTCGTAAGTATTTTAAATGATCGGCCATATAAGTATATTCGAAAAGATTTAACTGCCCAAACTATCGCTAATAGTTCTTTCTCAATAACTGGACAGTTTTTAGGTTTCCGTTCCTCAAAAGAAAAAACGGAACCCTTATAGGATTACTTTGTTGTCCGTCCGTCTGTCTGTCAAGACCCTTTTTCTTTCAGGAACGCGTTGAGGTATCAAGCTAAAATTCATATCAAATACTCAAGTCTAATGTCACTTGGTGCTGTGAAAAAATCAAACTTCTAAGCCAACGCAATCAAAAGATACAGCCGTTTATGCCGCAAATTTTCGACTTTCGCAAGGGAATCAAAACCTACAGGGTACTTCCCGTGAACTCAGAATCCTAAAATTTGGTACGAAGCAACGTATTATAGCACAGATAAAGGAAAAATTGCGAAAAGCATAAATGTTTAGTTACATCACATAATAAAAATATTTTTAATAGTTTTAAACTTATATACCTACGGATTTGTTCGGAACCCTCGGTGCGCGAGTCCGACTCTCACTTGACCGGTTTTTTTTTTTCAACTGCGCTTGCAAGTGCGACTCGCGTAAGTTATTTATTGGTCGTCCATTTCCATTTGATAGAATTGCTCCTACAGCAAGCACTATTTGACGCATTCGTTTGTACCACAAATTTATTTAAAAAAAATCTGGATATTCTAAAATTGGTGGGGTACTTAATAGATGTTTTAATAGTTCGATAGTCCCATTCAAAAGTTACAACCTATCTTGTTAATTTATTTATAGGATATGCAATTTCTGCGAAATTAGGTATAAATCTATAATATAAAAATGAATCGCTGAATGTGTTGCTAAGCGCAAATCTCGAGAGCAGCTGAACCGATTTCGCTAACTCTTTTTTAATAATATTCCTTGAAGTACGAAGATGGTTCTTACGGATAGAAAAATTTAAAAAAATTGCCTGAAAAAGTCTAAAAACAACACTTTTCTATATTCCCATAGAAAAGATTCGTAATAATACTTAAAAGTCAATTTGAACTTTAATATCATACCATAAAGTTTAAGTGTTAGTATCGTATAAATATTTATGTCAATATTTGTAAATATTTATAAGACCCTATTTTTTTGAGTAATGTTACCAACATTACTCAAAAAAATAGGGTTTCGCGCAAAAAAATTGATATCCATGAAATCTTAGTAAAATCCACGCGGGCGAAGTTGCGGGGCACAGCTAGTTTCCTATAATAATTGATTAAAGCTACAAATCTAGTTACTTCATCGGTATTTCTAGGACATGGATAATTTTTACCGTATTTACTTTTTGAGGGTCGGGCCTTATTCCATTATTTGAAATAATATGCCCGAGATACAAAATTTCTTTCCTTAGGAAATCACATTTTGCTGGATTTAACTTTAAATTTAGTGCTTGCAATCTTTCAAATACATCCTGCAAGTTTTTATTTAAAATTTTTAGATTCTTCCCAAAACTATTAAAATATAGATAGATATACTAACACTTTTCGTTATTTATTCTCGCCTTTTCTTTTACCTGCATTTTAATTTGAGCATAGTGAAAATGAAGTTAAATTATCTACATTGAGTTATATGTACTACGTACTAGAGAAGCCATTCCAAACAAAAACTGTGTCCTACTCTATGTCTTCGCGCATGCGCGGGAGTAGTAGTCGCGCATGCGCGAAGACTTTAATTTAATATAAAATAAGATATTAATATAAAATAAATATAAGAATTTAATATTAAATATCTTATTTTAATCTAAAGAAACATATTTCTAAATAAAATGTAATAATAATTTTTTATGGAATTCACAAATCTTCAATTTACGCAATATTTAGTTTGTATGGATTGCAGTACAGTTCAGTTGAACATAGTCAATGTTCGGAATGGCTTCTCTAGTACGTAGTACATATAACTCAATGATTATCTACATCAGGTATTTTAACAGTATTCACTTTCCATCAGGTTCACCCTTACAACTTCTTCCTTTTTCTTACTTCTAAAAAGAAAGAAGTCTTACGAGGTGATCTTAAAACTGCAATGAAGGATTCTCCAGAGTATCCACACAAGAACACCATACATAAATTCGAGCGAGACATAATACTGAAACTTGCAATGAAGGATCATTACACATACCTTTTTAAATCTCAGATCTTATTATTAGTGAAATCCTAAACCAAATATCGGATCCATTCGTATTATCCAACGCTGACGTAAATTGCACGGGCCATTGTGTAGAGACACGAGGGACCGGGGCTCACCACACAATTGCTCCTATGTTATGATAATGGTCGTGTACTTAATGTCCCTTTACTGAAGTACGTACACTTATCTATCTATACTATAATAAAACTAAGAGGACGGAGGATTTCTGTACATTGAATTTTTTTTAAACTATTGGTGTACACTATGTCTGTCTGTCTGTACATGCATGACACAAAGACCTGTGAGACCGAACCAATAGAATAAATAATCATCATCACGCTATCTATCATAGGAGCTGGGCAGTAAGTCTAATTATCTGAATACATATTTATATACCTTTGGAAATCCATTTTTATATTAATGTTACATTATCTTTAATAATTTAGTCGATATAATTAATTACCTTTATTCAACTTTGAAAAAAGGCAGGTTATTGCAGGTTGTTATTTTGTTTTTATTTTCTGTAGGTTAGATTGTGTCTTCATAATTGTTGTTGATCTTTACATTATTCATATGCAGAATAACTCGTATACTAATGTTAACTTTATTAGGTATCCCTTAAGATATCTTAACGGAAAAAGTTGTAATGTACAGCTAAGATACGCCCCGAAGATTTAACTTATACGAGTCACTACAATCGATTTGATAGACCACGAATCCTCGCTAAGGAAGACCGATTCCTTCCAAGGATGATTCGCGAGGCTATTGAAATCAAAAAACATCCTCATTTCAATAGAGAAGATGGCTGGGTGCTACCATCTGCTAAACCTAAGTTTTTTCTGGACGGTTTAAGATATTAAAAATTTAATAACATGTGGAGAAATAAAATAACGTGAAATAGCAGTATAACGATGCTGTGTTGTATATCTTGAGTGTAGAGAACTGGAGGTCCTTACAACTCGTAATTTTCTTTGCGTTATAGCATGGTGCGGGTGACAGCTTGATTCGGTCACTAGAACGTAACTTGCGTGCGTTTGCATAATTACGGCAACATTTTTAACTATGAGAAAATAACACTGAATTTGTTTTTTATTTTTTTCTATTCTGTTATGACTATTAAATTAACATTAACTTAAAAAATCTTACCTCATATAGTTTTTAATAACATTATAAAAGTGTCTAAGAAGTTTCTAGCTGTCTAAGAAACCAGCAGACATTGAAGAGAGCACCAACTGGTATGCATTACTTGGTTTATATTTTGATTGGTTCAATCTACTATATCCTTTGCTGATGTTCTGTGTTCGTCAACACTGCCCATCGAGAGTATCTACCTTTGCACTTGACTTAAAATCCAGTGCTGTTATGAGCCTCCCCGTTTCTAAGAAGGATTTGGCTTCATCGTCACGCCTGGCAGGTGGACTGAGGACTGCAGTACCAGACCTGAGCATCTTTGACGCTGCTGTTCATCAACGTTATGGATATTTTACGTTTGGTGCAACGAGATGGTTACACCGCCACCTATCAGAAGCCATTAGATATTTTTGGCATTTTCCATATTCACCTTCTACGATACCTATGGGACGAAACAGGGTAATAGACCGGACTTTTTCGTACTTGACTCCCCTTACTTAATCTATACAAATAAATAAAATTGAAGTGTCTGTTTGTAATGTTAAAATAACAGCTTTTTACTAAATGCATATGAAAGTATATACGATACTTATAACAAAAACACAATTTTTAAAATTTTTGTCTGTCTGTCTGTTTGTTCCGGTTAATCTCCGAAACGACTGGACCGATTTCGACAGGACTTTCACTTGCAGATAGCTGATTTTATAAGGAGTAACTTAGGCTACTTATATTTGAGAAAAAGAATTAGGGTTACGCGCAACATAATTAAAACCCTACATTACACGCGGGCGAAGTAGCGGGGAACAGCTAGTTTAAAATAAATGTATATTGTGCCTGGAAATACGCTTTACGAGGAAGTCGTTAAAGTTTTTTTCTTACTATTACAGTTATCTCGTCGCTAATGCCTGTTGCAAACGATATAAAGTAGCTGGCGCAAGTACAAGTCATTATCTCCCCTCTCAGCGGCTCCTTGCCACCTGCGCCCCCTTTTCCCTAAAAAGGGTCGCTTCCGATTCGGCAGGAAGGCCACACAAGCCAATGCTAGTCTCACAGGTGGTGTTTAGTTGGTAGGCACTTAGGTTTCGCAGTGAGTCCCACATAACCACGGCAGCCGGCTGTCGTGGTATGCTTAGAGCATTCACCACCTCCATTCCTCGCTTCCGGGAGGGTAGCCCTTTCCATTGCTTCTGGGCGCACATATACAAGAGTTTAGTTCACGCAAACCTTAGCGAAAAATAATTTACTTACACCGAATTTCGGCCAAGGCACTCCACTCTCACAAGGTCTCAACACTTGCCATCTGCGCAAGACAAGGTGCAGTGCATCGCACGAGTGTGTGCGCAAGCACTGTTGTACTCTTTATTCCTTTTTTTTATAGGATAGGGAGACAAATGAGCACACAGTCCACCTGATGGTAAGTAGTTGCTGTGACCCATAGACATCACATCCTCAATAAGGAATCAAAATGCAGATTGGTTGTCACCCGTGAGGACTAAGATGGAATGCCTCTTTTCCAGTAAAAAGGGTCTCCGGTTCTTTACACTCACCATACGAAACACAGCAGTGTTAAGCTGCTATTTTACGCTGGTGTTCTGTGAGAGTGTGGTCCTTCCCCGGTTGAGCCGACCCATTCGTGCTACAACTATACTACTAATATAGCTGCAGCATGGCTCTACCATGTAAACTCTTTATTCCCTCACATTCATAGTGCAAAGGGGTGGCACTCCGATACGACTGGAGAGAGAGATCAAGTACAGCACTACCGGCTACTCCAGGCTGCTGCTTGGAATTTCTTGACGGAAAACCCCAATAATTGATTATTTGGCGTGACTCAAGGTTCAAGTCTCGGTACCAGATGACCAGCAATCTCGCTTACTACTACTAGATAGATGAGACAGTCAAGGGCGAACAATATTGAACTTACAAGTACGTGGTAGAGAAATGCTGCGGGGTACTACGGCTGAAGCACGAATAGATCGGTTCGTCCAGGGAAGAACACCTACGTTCGCACAGAATCCCAACATACAATAACAGCGTAACAGAAACAGAAACTTTTTTATTCAATATATATTGGATTATAAATAATACTTATTGAAAGATTCTCTTTTGTTTAATTTACTACTATTGGTATGGAAAACCTTTGTCCTGGAAAGAACCAGCAAGAAACCTAGCGGAACTTTTTTAAATGATACTGCCATTTCGTATAATGAGTGATAACTGACTTCAGAGACCGATTTATTAGTAGTAACCAGGGGTTCCATTTTAGTCCTCTGTGGTAAAACACATCTGCATTTTAATTCTTGATAGAAGATAGATGTAAGTGTCTTTGGCCATCAACAACCAAAAATAATGACTGCATTGCCGCGCTTGTTTGTCTATTTATACAATACAATACAATAACTTTATTTCAGGCATCAAGGACTTAAAAATTAAGAACATTGGCCCATAGCAATATATACCTTAACCTAAAAATATATATAAAATATTGACATAACACTATTTAGGGAACTTTTTTTTGGCGTGTATCGGCGAAACACTACCCCAGAGGGCCAGAAATCGGGAGCGAGGAATGTCTCTTTGTGTTTTGCAGGTACCTGGAGTACGTAGGATTTGAAGTTCGTTGACCTATTAGACTCCAGACGCTGCCAATGTAAAGAGATCGTATCCTCAATGCGGCATCGGCTTCGTTCTTCCACGAAACGCAGGACGTCTTCAGTCGACGTACTTTTGTCCAAACGGGAGATGTAGAGCTGTATAGTTGGCTCCACATCACGCAAAGTTGTACTCGCGTTTAATTTGGCCGTCCCACGCTGGTTAGAGACGGGTCTCGACTGACGTCTCTTCTCAACAAGAGTAAACCCGTCCTTATCAATTTTGTCTTGGGTCGCCACTGGAACTGATTTTATTTCCACGTTCTTTCGCTTTCGACCACAAGAGGATGCCGGTTGTAAAGATTTTCGGGCAACATCCGCAAACGTCTTCACTTGTTTTGAGGTTGGCTTTGGCGGAGGAGTACTAATGGGTTCAGTCAAGGGTTGAGGTGGTGACGCAATGACGACTGAGGTCGCCGTAGTTTCACGGTCATCAACCCGCTGACAGGCGGTATCGCATGACGGAGTCGCAATCATCGGTGAAATATGACTAGTGTTACGGTTACCGCGTGTCATATTAAATATTAATTAATTCTGCGACGGCGGTGAATTCGCAGATGTTGCAATTATGTTGCGCAACATATTGACTTCGTTCCTCAGCTCTGTTGCGGCTCATTCCGATTCTTCAAATTTGGAACGGACGTCGGTAACATCGGCTTTCAACGTGGTGATGTCTTTCAACAATCTGGTCACGTCTACGTGATCGAACGTCACAGGAGGCAGCTTGTTGAGATCACGCGCGACAAAAGTTGGGATGTCATCAGGGTCGGTCTCATTGAACAGCCTGAATATGTCTTGCAGGTCTTTCTTACCGCGTCCATCCCTGTGACGTGTGATGAGACGGATTTGGCTCACGGCTGAATCTGCTAACACCTTCTTCGCTTGGATGATCTCGTCCTCGGTGAAGCTTGTCATCAGTATCTGCTCCAGAGACACCTGGTCCATGACGTCCAATTTTTGTTGAACAATGGCCAGGAACTCGTGAACTATGATGGTTTCGGAGCGTTTAGGTTGACACGCCATTTCGAATTATTTTCGCGCAGTAGGTATGCTTACGCTACGAAAATACTGTAGGTTCGGCATTAGAGCTGTCACGTCATTCATCATTCATCACACGAAGCGACTGCACTGACCGGTTGTAAAATTGCGACTGTCTGACTAAAATTTAACTTCTATTTTAAAAAAAAGTACGTAATCAGTACCTAGGTATGTTGATGCACATATCTGTTAAACGTAGTGTGAGTGTAGTCACGTTTGTGCATGGACAGCTAAAGAACTTGCACTAGCATTTTTATTTTTTATATATTTTATTTGTTTTTATTTTAATACCAAGAATACAAATAATATACTTGGTTTTATACGTAGTAGAGCCATGCTACAGCTATATTATGGTTGTAGCAACAATATGTCGGCTCGACCGGTAAGGATCACGATAGCTCTCACTGAATACTAGCCTGAAATAGCAGCTTATTTCTGTTGTGTTTCGTATGGTGAGTTTAGAGAACTGGAGACCTTTTTTTACTGAAAATGAGGTATTCCATCTTAGTCCTCAGGGGAGACAACGCATCAGCATTTTGATTCTTAATTGAGGATAAACTTAGATATCTATAAGCCACATCATACCCTTACTATCAGGTGGGCTGTGTGATATTGCGTTACATATATACACTAAATTCAAATCTTATATATATTTTTTAAATGAAATAAACAGCTAAAACGCACCGTCTGCAACAGGCATTGCGGATGCGTTAAGACTTTAAAGTGCTTTGAGGCTAGTTCAGATAAACAACAATTGTTTACTTAGTACTCTTTGTTTCGTCTTCTTTTCCTTGACTTAATTCAATGCTCTACATTTAAAATGATTTACAAAAACAAGGAAAAAATAAAATAATATTCAATACGGGCATGAAGACTATATTATTTCTTAAAAGTTCATGAATCTTCTCTCATTTCTTAAAATTCGCAACGCTTCAGTGCTGGTATATAACGTATTACATTTCAGAGAAATATGTATAAAATACTTTATATAAGTAAGCATGACACGTGGCGGTGTAAGAATATCCACTACCCCATATCATCCCGTGGGTGTCGTAAAAGACGACAGGGGGAAACAAATCACGAGATAGGCAGCAGCATCTCCCTAATAAAGACTAAAAATAAAAATCTGCGGTTGCCGACTCGCATGCCAAGTGTGGTAATTATAGTAAATATCCCCCCTATGAGGCAATCTATCGGGGAGGCTTGTGTTCAGAAGTGGAAGAAGAAGGCTGTAACGGTAACGGTTTATAAAATACTAAATCAACAAAATCCGTTTAGTAAGTGACAAGCTCGAAGATCCGATCACCGATGGGGATCGATGAGGAGGTAAGACATGCATGAAGTTGATGACTGCGGCAGGCTAAGGACCGTGTTTAATAGTATTCCTTGAGAGCGGTCTATGTTTTCACTGCTGAACATATGCCTGCCGCATATAGTGCCAAATATGGCTGGCGGGTTGGCAACAACTGTTTTTAATTATTTAGTGTTTACTAGGAATACGCTGCTACCCATTTCCTGGTTTGTTATTCCTATTCCCCTCTGTCGCGTCTTACGATACTCTCAGAACGATATGGGGTAGTGGATATTTCCACATCGACCGTGTTAAAAAGGAATTATAAATTGGATTATATTAATTTCTTTTGTATAAAGGGGCTTACGCATTAAACTGTACAAACTTTTAAGTCGTACGCCGCTTGGTTTGGTCTATATTTAAATTGGCTTTAGCGCTTACAGCAAAGGTAAAAGGGTATTACGGTTCCAGTTAAACTAAAGTAGATTTTGATGTTAAACTTTCACTCTTTGCATATTAAATTGTTTATGAACCCTTTTTATGTCAAAAAAGCTAAAATATACATAAGCAACAAAGCAATATATTTATTCGGTACTATCACAGAGTGACATACAATACAAGTTTTCATAGATTATAAAGTTAAATAAAAAAATATATAAATAATTACAATTGGTGAAGTATTTCTTCAATGAACATTAATTTTTAAGTAAAAACATTAATTCAAACACACACAGCTGATTTACATGCGTATAAAAGTAATTGTAAAAGGAATATCGAATTTTTACGTCATGAGTCATGCTGCAGCGATCCACTATGATCATCGAAGGAGAGAGGAGATGTTCCGCCGGTCAGTCCGGGGAACGGCCAATGCTCAGTATGATAGCACTTAGTTTATTCTGTAAACAGATTGATTCGGAAACTTCGATAGGATGATTTAGGCTTCTACCATTCTTATTATTTATTTAGCCTATTTACCCTTAAGGTTTTCGTTTAGCTTGTGGCGTTACGACAGCTCCACCACAATGGTTGCGCGACGGATGGGTCGGCTAGACCAGGATCTCACTCGCTCAGGACACAAGTGTATAAAAGCTATTTTATGCTGCTGTGTTTTATTGCGCTACTACCCTACTGCGCCCTACTGCGCCTCCTTTCCCTAAGGGGGGTCGCTTCCGATACGGCAGAAAGGCCCTCCAGGCCAAAGCCAGTCCCAGGTGGTGTTTAGTGGGTAGGCACTTAGGTTTCATAGTGAGTCCCACATAACCATGCAGCTGGCTGCGTGGTATGCTAAGATCATTCACCACCTCCCTCCCCCACTTCCCAGAGGGTAACCCTTTACTTTGCTTCTGGGCGCAAAAAAAAAACACTGTCTTTTATATGATAAAAAAGAATCGGTGACCCTTTTATTGGTATAGATTTTAGTTTTCAGGGATGACAACGTATTTGCGTTCTGATTTTTTATCAAAAATGTATAGGCTACAACATGCACTGAGCATCACGTAGACCGTGCGTTTGTCGCTCCTCTTTCTATATATATTTAAAAAAAAAACTAGTTTTACGGATTTTATTAGGTATATTATTAAATAACTTTTAACTAGTGACAGGCGTTGATATCTGTTAAAGAGCTGTTAAGGAAACAAGCGTGAATGACAAATAAATTGCAGTGATACAGTCTATCTGTAATTATCATGTACTGTTTTTGCACTCAACAATATTACCATAATTTGACTAAGTTACATAAAAAGAAGTAAAATTTATTAGTACATGTTTATCATATATTAAACGTGTAGGGGCGGTGTATGAATAACAACTACCCCATTACTTCCCGTGGGTGTCATTAGATGTGAAAGAGGGAAACAAATCGGGAGATGGGCAGCAGTGTCCAATAATAAGAATTATAAATTAAAAATACTGCGGTTATCAAACCGCCTTCCAAGTGTAGCAACTATTCCAAATATGCAAAGATTCCACTTATGAGGCAAACCAAGGGGGAGCCTATGTTCAGCAGTATACTTTGATGGGTTGATTGTGACCTACATATTATGTGCTAAAATCATTAGAACATATTGTTTCATATAGTAAAACAATTAGAGCAAAAGTCGATAAAAGCAAATTAATGAAAGACGTTATTATAATTCATATGCAAATTACTCTTATATAGGTTGAATCTTCTAAGCATAACTACATCCTATTTTTCAACCACAAGCAGCAAGTCAGGTTGGCCGAGTGGTCTAAGGCGCCAGATTTAAGCTCTGGTTCCCGAGAGGGAGCGTGGGTTCGAACCCCACACCTGACAGATTAATGTATAGCGTGACTTTTGTTGTTTTGATTTAAAAATAATTACTGATAACTAATCTTTAATTAATGATGATTGACAGTATTTTTAGTATTTTAGCGTAAAAGAAAAAATAAATAATTAAGTAAACATTTTTTTAAATAATTTTTCTTTTTAATTGACAATGAAGAACCAACCGTTTTGATTTTTTTTTAAACAAAAATGAACATCATGTTGCCAGTATTAGGTCAACCATGTATTTTAAATGTATTTTGGATTTCAGTCATCTGAATGCAATAGCCGAGTCTAGCTATTTTGGTGACTGTGTAAGAATCATTATTGAGTATCGTAAGATAAAAGATAATGATGAGTATGTCAGAAAAGTCTTATTGATTCCGATAGATGGCGGTAAAACTCTCATATGTCAAACGAAATATACCAAGACCGACGAAGCGTCAAAGGTGCGGGATGAAGTCAAACCTATCTACAAGACCTACATGCGACAGACCTATGTCCTGTAGTGGATTTTCACGGGCTGATTCAGCCACCTCAGCCTTGCCGTGACCATGGAAATCGCTATGACCAGCCCAGCTAATGATGATGAAGAAGAGTGCAGACGTTCTGCCCTTTCCGGTAGGTGGCGCGATGAGCTTCACTCTACATTTTCACTGTATAAATATTTTTTTTAATAATTCGATCGATTCGATTTTGTGATTTATTTTTTTGGCACTAAACCAAACTATATTTCAGATATGAGTGATTTTAGTGCATAAACAGAGTTTGTGAAAAACTTGACTACGACACCACCCATCAGAGGGGCTGGGAGCTATGATTACAATAGAATCATTTTTATTCAATATAGATAACAATGCCTATGTTCAGCAGTGGACTTGAAGAGCTGTAATGATGATGATGATGATGATAAATAAGAATACTTATTTAATATGAGTTATGATTTTACTTCTGGTACGAAAAAAAACCTCTGTCCTGGGAAGAACCAGCAAGAAAATTAGCGGGACTTTTGTTTTAAACAATATAATATGGTTTTAACATTGAAATATTATATACTAACGTACTTGGTACATAATAGTTCAATGGGTGTACAATTAAATAAGGAAACACAAATATTTTGTACAACCGACTTCAATATAAATTATTAAAAATATCTCAAAAACTATTGGTCAGATCTGATCTGAATTTATACAGGACCACATGTGAAGCACCAGCTTTCTAATAAAAAATCATCGAAATCGGTTCACCCAGTAAAGAGTTATGAGGTAACACACATAAAAAAAACATACAGTCGAATTGAGCCGGCTCCTTTTTGAAGTGGGTAGAAAATTAGCGGGACTTTTGTTTTAAACATTAATTTACAATATATTAAGGTGTACAATTAGATAAGAAAACATTTAGAAAACAATT